AAAATACACGTGTGATACTGTGGGGCCAAGTGCCCTGGGGATCACGTGAGTGGTGTGCAGAATGGTGCTCTGCGGGGGCACGGTGCCAAATGGCGTCACCACCAGGCCCTTTCTACTGGGCCACTGCTGTGATATGTGCAGAAAACGTGTGCATCAAATAACTCCTCAGGCTTAGGGTCGAGAGGTGTGTACTCAGCACACAAACACTTCCCTGAGTTCAAATCCACACCTCACAAAGTCACATGCTCCACAGTCACACAGAGCTTAGTGACAGAGTGTGTTCTGAGAAGTGTTAGGTGACTTTGTCATTGGCTGGACATCATAGCACACCACACAAGCCTCGACAGGATACCAGGCTGCGTAGTACAGCCTGCTGCTCAGCAAGGCCCTGCAGGAATGCACAGCTGCACCCAGCTGCAACACAGAGGTGAGTGCTGGCACAGTGAAACAGCACTGCCACCAGTCCACGTCACACATGCAATGACAGACATTATGCAGCTCTGCCTGTAGTAGCAGGCACTGAGCAGAGAAAGATTTCTATCCTAATCCCTGAAACTCCAAGTCACGGTTCCTTATGCTAGCCACGCCATGCTCCGTCTGGCAGCTCACTGGACAAGTGGGACCAGCTGGCTGCACAGGAGCCTGGGCCAGGGCGCCTCCCTTCCTTGCAGGTCACAGCCTGGAACTCAGCTGGCTCTTCCAGGTACCAATCCCATCAAGCAAGCCTGGAGTTCAGCAAAGTCCACAATACTGAGTTACACAAGGCCTTAGTGAACAGCACTCTGAACAGTGGTTCTCAACCTTCCTAGTGCCACAACCCTTTAATACACGGTGATAACCGTGATAACCGCTGCTCTAGAACCACATGCTTGTTTCATTTTAACTGTTACTATTAATAGTGATGGAGCGTGTGCCCCACGGTGTGGGGCCCTCCACATCTGATGGGGTGTGTGCTCTCCAGAACTCGCGGCCCCGCCACATGCACTGACATGGTTACTCTCACTTCACAAGTGCAAGAGTCGACACTTACCAGAAACCCACTAAGTCAGTCCGTGGCAGAGCCAGAACCTGGACCAAGCTGGTCTGGCTCTCCACCACTCGTGAAGATGCTACGTTGTACCAAGGGCAGGGTAGACTTCAGCACCTGAGGAACTATGGGTCAGAAAGCTGACTGTGTACCCTAATGGTACTTTTCAATTTCATACCACCTTGCCCCACAGTCTTAGTTTTCTACAAATTAATCACACTCTACATACACACGGGCCCCATATCGCCTGGACACACAGCTGGTCAGCAAACCATCCAACAGGGAATCCACACACACCTGACTCTCCACAAAGGAAAAGGTTTGGCTTCACAAGCAGGTGTGGCTTTTCCATCAAAAACCTTGTATCCTGTGGAGCCAGGGAGCCTTTCCCTCATGCAGCCCAGGAGAGTAGCTGAGGCCCTGAGGCCCCAAGAAGCTCTAACCCCACTGACTCCTCACTGCCCTTCCTGCCAGAACCATAGAGATAACTAATCATCCGTGAATGGTTCTTCTTTTACTAGAACAGGGACTTACTCAGATGCAGCTCTAAGTACAGGCACTAAATGGGCTTGCAACGCCACACGCCGGCCACTCCCGGGTCGGAGAGTGCATGTGGACACATGCACCTGCACACACAGGTTGTCTACTCACCTGTCAGTGCTTTGACACATGTACAGGTGAGTCAGCTGTACATGAACACTCACAGCAGCATTGTCTGCAACAGAACTGCAGCGTCAGATGAAGGGACAGAACGTGAGCTGGTCATGGCAGCACAGACCTGGGAACCCCAGCTACTTGAGAGGCCGAGGTGGAAGGATCCCAAGCCCTGGAGTTCTACACCAGGCTGGGCAACATAGTGAGACTGCCTCTATAAAAACAACAATAAAAAAACACCCCACACAAACTTTCACTGATTACTCTCACCACCCTCCTCCATATTACTTCCAGACAGTCCTTGACAGGGGCAGTGTAGGGATCAGAGGATCGAGTGGGGTGCTTTCTGCCTCCTAGTAGGTGGGCTCCAGGCCATGGTCTCCCCTGCTTTTGAGGTGAGATGCCCCATCTGAGAACACGTTTCCAGTGACCTGAGTCTGCGGCACAGACAGGTGCTAGATCAGGTCTCACACTCTCCCCAGGTCTGTTTCTGATGGGCTTCTCCTGAGAATGTGTGTATGTCTGTGTCAGAGGAGCTGGGTTTGTCACAGACATGCACAAGATTGTGGTCACCACACTACCAAGTACCACCTGGCTGTGAGAAGCACAAAGCTGTCACCTGCTACACAGGGATGAGACATAAAGAGCCGTGTGGTCTGACTCCAGGGAGGGGACACACCTGAACAGGCAGCTCCTCAGAGACAGAGGCAGCAGCTGGGGGAGGAGGGTGTGGTGACTCCGAGGGACGCTGCAGGGTTGTCTTTGGGGTGGAAATGCTCTAAATTTAGGCAGTGGCGCTGACTGCACAACTCTGCTAAAAACCATCGACTTCTACACTCTCAAAGAGTGACTATATGGTATATGAATCATGTCTCAAAAAAACTGTTATAAAACTGATCAAGTGGGGCTCTGGGGAGCTTGGCCTCCTCATTAAAAATCTGAGTCACAGATGACCACCCAGGGTGGCACCAGCCCAGAAGTAAATGGAGAAAGGGCCAAAATCTCTCCCCTTCCTCACCCACACTTCCTCCTCAAGGTAGGAGAAAAAAGTGGGGCTCCCTTCGAAGTGCCAGCTTTCAAAGCTCCAGAACTCTACACACAGACCAGGAGCCTTAACTGGCTTGGCAGGCACAGAGAGCAGGCAGGGAAACACAGGCTCCCGGCCCACTCTGAGAAGCACTAGCAGAGGCAGCGGGTGGGGGCAAAAAGGAAAGACCCTGCTCCCAAGACCCCACAGGGAGGCCCCAGGCCCTGGCCAGCATGGCCCCGCAGGGAAAGAAAGCTCTCACTGCTCCCCCCCATACACCAGCTGTGTCCAATCCCCCACTGCCAGGCCATCCTTAGAGGTGAGGCCTCTGAACACCAGGCATACCCCTTCAGACCATGCGGTTCCCAGGCCCATGTACAGATGACCGCACCAGGCACGCCCCTTTAGACTGTGGGGTTCCCAGGCCCATGTACAGATAACTACACCATGCACACCCCTTCAGACTGTGCACTCTACCTAGGGCAACATTCTGAGACTCTGTCTCAAAAAAAAAAAAAAAAATTCTCAAGGCAGCTCACACTTGTGATCCCAATATTCTGGGAGGCCGAGGCAGGAAGATCCTCCAAGCTCAGGACTTTAAGACCAACCTGAGCAAAAAACCCACCATAACTGTTTTAATTACAGTAAGTATTTGAGTAATGAGATGTCTGTTTATCAAACACAGTTCCTTACTTTTTTTTTTTTCTATTTTTAGTAGAGACAGGATGTCTCTCTTGCTCAGGCTGGTCTCAAACTCCTGAGCTAAAGGGATCCTCCTGCCTCGGCCTCCCAGAGTGCTAGGATTACAGGTGTGAGTCTCCACGCCAAGCCAAGAGTTCCTAACTTAGGGCAACTGAGGCTATCTCGCGTGTCTGAGCCTACAACATGGGGCTGTGCCAGGCATCAACAGTGTACCCATCTCCCTGAACAGACGCCCTTGCTGTGCGTCAGACTCAACAGAGCCTCTAGGTCACAAACAGATCAAGGTGGCACTGGGCAGCCGCCCACAGAAGCGCTGCCGCCACACCAGGCCTGATAAGGAGCCCCGAAGCCGTACGTGTCCTCTCACGGAGCCATCCACTGTCCCTCAACTACACATCCAGACAAAAGCTACCAAATGTTCACATTTTCATAGCATTTTATCAATTTGCCAAAGAAAGGATAATAATTTGGTTTGAAAACAAATAAAGCAAGACACAATGAACTAAGTCTAAATAAAGCTAAGGGGAAATGACTGAGTTCCAACATAAACAAAACCAGTTTTTAACATGAACACAAACTGACTGCTGTGCCTAAAATAAAGAGCCTTCCCCACACATGCACGAGAAAGGGGCTGCAGTGGGGCACAGGCCCACTCCCCATGCACGCCGGCTGTGTTAGGGTCGCCGGGCGAGTGCAGGGACTGCTGCTCCTGCTCTGGGCCTGAAGGACTCTCTCCTGGACGGGTGCAACACCCCAGGCCTGAGCCAAGCAGGGCAGGCCTCAGTGCCCCTAAAAGGCTGGTCGCCAGACAGCAGCAGTGTCTCCAGGGACAGTGGCTCCGACCCAAAGTCCTAAATGCTGGAGAAAGTTCTGCACCAAACTGCCTGTCTCCCTAAAGCAAGGGAACATCTGACTTCCTACTGTGCTAGCAGGGACATGGAGATGGAGTCTGGCATCAGCGCTTGCCCAGCCATAGTGCTCAGCCCAGGAGCACGCTGAAGGATGAAGCTAACAGCTCCACCTTCACTCTGTCCTTCCCCATTTACCCTCTTAATTTATGAGCACACACACTGTCCAGAGATAAGTGTGTGGCGGCAGACTGCTTGGAGACTTCCGTGACAAGCCAGTAGCAAAAACCCACGTGGGGGTGATTTGCAGAGCGGCAGGAAAGCAGCACCCACAGATGCCAGGCCATTCCCACCCTTCCTCTTCCGGCCCCACTGCTTTAAACACTGATGGACAGAAAGAGTCTCCCTGTCAGTAAACAGCAACTCCCTCCAAGATCTACCACTGCCAGCCTGCATTAACCCCAACACGGCCACCAAGGGCCTAGACTGGCCGCTGGAGAGGACTGCACTGCGAGGGTGCATGAGGGCTGATGAGAGCAAGAGCCCCATCCAGCCGCCTGGCTTCTCCACCCAAGGTCCAGAGAAGCATGAGCACATCCTTGCTGCCCAGTGACCTAGTGAGATGGGTCTCCTGGGACTGTACCCCGTGCTCCTCCAAGCCTGTATTCTCAGCATCGGGACACCATCGCGGGGATCTCAGAAGTGCCAACCCTGAGCTTGGGCTCCTCACCCAGCATCTTACTTGACTTGTTCCCAGGACTTGGTGGCCAAATGCAGGACCCAGAGATCCTTGTAGTGGTAGAACTGCTCTCCGTCGGGAGAGGCAAACTCCCCTCCAAAGATCCACAGCTGTCCACCAGCTTGAGGCACCACCACCGCCTGTCAAGAGAAGGACATAGGTCAGGGCACAGCCAGGTAGAGGGCCAGCTCTACAGGTGACCAGCAGTGGGCACTGTCAAGGCCAGCCCATACTCGGCCCCCTCTCCTCCTGCAGGAGGGTCCCTGGGAAGGCTGTCATCAAGTTCACGGTCCTTGGTCAAGAGTCTAACAAGAGGCACCCATAGCTCAGTAATTAGGGTGTCGGCCACATACACTGAGGCTGGTGAGTTGGAACCCAACCGGGGCTTACTAAAACAGTAACAACTGCAACAACAACAAAAAATAGCCGAGCATTGTGGCAGGCACCTGTAGTCCCAGCTCCTTGGGAAGCTGAGGCAAGAGAATCACTTAAGCCCAAGAGTTTGAGGTTGCTATAAGCTGTGATGCCACAGTACTCTACCCAAGGCAACAGCTTGAGACTGTCTAAAATAAAATAAAAAGTCTAATAACCCTTCATATGTCCCACCAAAACGGTCACTTCAAATGTGACATAAGCATTCCACAAACCAATAAATGGTATTTTTCTTGCCATTAATGTCTGAAACAGCTGCTTATCCCCCTAAACTGCCCTCACAAAACACACACACCCGGGAGGCAGTGTGCTTATGACATCGCTAACACCTGCTTTTAGGAAATTCAAGCAGCGCAGGAAAGACAAAGGGGAGCCACGGCTACAATGTAGGAGGGGACCACCCAGACCAGAACCAAATCAGGACAAGGCCTCTCTGAGAAACCATCGGGAACTCCAGGGGGGCTCCTGCGGCCCCCTCCTTCTCAGGACCCTGAGAAACCACCAAGAACTCCAGGGGGGGCTCCTGCGGCCCCCTCCTTCTCAGGACCCCTGCAGCCGTGGGCAGCAGAGTCTGCAGAACTGGCACACGCCCAGCCATGGACGGTGAACTGTCACCAGACAGATGTGCACTGCAGAACGTACACCAACTAAAATACAACAGAAAACTGAGCGACTGCTAATAAGCCAAGAGAAAATAAAAACGGGGTATTCAAGTTCAAAAGGAAGCAGGAAAAAAAAACCACATTATCATCGGGACAAAAAGAAACAGCAATACAGAAAACATTACCAGTGGCCACATCAATAATCATTACACGTTATATGCAAGGGAGTGACACCAGTTCACAAGCAAAGACTATCAAAGCAAAAATGAGACTCAACCACACCACTGATTACACTTCAGGTGCTGGGCAGTGGCTCATGCCTGTAAGCCCAGCACGGTGGGAGGACCAAGCATGATCCTTTGAGTTTAGGAGCTTGAGACCAGCCTGAGCAAGAGTGAGACCCTGTCTCTACTAAAAATAAAAAAACTTGTGGGGCATTGTGATGGGCACTTGTGATACCAGGTACTCAGGAGGCTGAGGCAGGAGGATCTCTTAAGCCCAGGAGTTTGAGGTTACTGTGAGCTATGATGCCACAGCACTCTACCCAGGGAGACAGAGCGAGACTCAAAAAAAGTAGCAGTGTCAAGACCACAACCCAGGCTCGGCGCCTATAGCTCAACCAGCTAAGGCTCCAGCCACGTACACCTAAGGTGGAGGGTTTGAATCCCCAGCCTGGACCCGCCAAACAACAATGACGGCTGCAACCAAAAAATAGCCGGGCGTTGTGGCGGGCGCCTGTGATCCCAGCTACTTGGGAGGCGGAGGCAGGAGACTCGCTTGAGCCCAGGAGCTGGAGGTTGCTGTGAGCTGTAATGCCACGGCACTCTACCCAGGGGGACAGCTTGAGGCTCTGTCTCAAAAAAAATAAAAAAAGACCACAACCCAGGGGGGCATACTCTGTGTTCTCAACACCACAATGTACCCCAGAGAAACCCCTGGAAACATTCCAGTTAAAACTAAGTCTGTACTACCTGCTAAATGTTTAAATGCAAGAAAACCCTCTGTTTGCCACACCAAAAGACTTGAACAACAAAACATATGTCACACATCTGGTGAACACATCATTATCTAGAGCAGTGGTTCTCAACCTGTGGGTCGCAACCCGCAGGAACTGCATTAAAGGGCTGCGGCATTAGGAAGGTTGAGAACCACTGATCTGGAGCTATCGATGATGTTCTAAATCAAACATCTCCACTAGGCCTGCGCAGTGCCAAAGGTTGAGGCTAAAGAGGTTTGCACAGGATTCAGACGGGAGAAAAACCAAGGAGCCAAAAGCAGCTGTGACATGTGCTTGACTCAGCTCGTGGTGGCCAGCGAGCAGGCCCAGCGAGCAGGCCCAGCGAGCAGGCATGAGCACAGCAAGTAGCTTCTCTCCTAGGCAGTCTGCCCGGGGGGAAGCCTCGGGGCCTCACAGTGGCCACAACAGTGGGTCCCAGTCGAGCACTGAAGACCATTAACTCGGCACCTACAGTTAATTCACAGTTACTCAAAATCTGGCACCCCATGGCCTTCAGGCGAGAAGGCCTAATCCACTCCTCCTCCCCACACTACACCCCTCCAGGGTATAGGCTGTTTCTGCCTCAATCTACAATCTACGAGAAAGTCTTCCCTAAGGTCCACATGGCAACCATTTATCACAACACCGTCACATGCTAGGAAAGCACAGGATAGCACAAGCCATGACGAGACACACAGCAACATGCAGAAAGCAGCGTAGCCACACGTTCATACCCCACCAATTCCCAGGGCCGGCATCTGTGCTGTGTCCCTACAGCTCAGTGGTCCAGTCCTGGTCCCAATCTGCAACAGCACACGTGGTACAGTAACAGGGCTGAGCAATGACACTCCGCTGCCAGAAGGGTCTCCCTGCTCTGTGCCTGGTCAGCAGAGCTGCTTCTCCACCTCCTCCGTGGCCTGGGAGCACCTCTTCCTCCACAGGCCCACTCGGCCCAGCAGGCGCCTCCACAGCCTTCCCTTCTTTACCTTCTGCTGCTCCACGGCCACCGCCCCGACCCCTGAGCTCGGGGGCCTCTTTCTCCAGAGGTGAGACTTGGGACTCCGCTCCCTGAGGCGGGTCTGCTGCTGGGCATCCGGGCCCCACTTGCCTCCAGCAGGGCCTTGATGGGTCGCATTCTCCCTGTGAGCTGCCTGTGGAGACCACTCAGTCCCTCACGTTTACAACCCACCTCTGCTTTGGAGGACTGTGACTTGCCACCCTACTTGGCCCTCTGCTGTTGCCGCCACCCTGGGCCCTCTCCACATCTGCCCAGTCTGTGTGAGGTAGGACTCCCAGCTGACCCTGATCGGGCCCATCTGCAGGCCCTCCCCACTGTGAGTCGCCTGCAGCCGCAGGACCTGCTTCTTGAAGATGGCTGCCTCAGCTTCCAGAGCCTCCCGGGGCTGCCCCTTCTGCCCTGCAGCCCCCCACTTCCCCACAAGCTCCTTGCTGAGCTCCTGCCCACTCTCCACCTGGCTCTGGCCTGGTTAAGGGTGTTCCCACGATGAGTCTTCCAGCTGCTCCTGAAGAGTCTGCATCTGGCCCCGGTCTGGCGTCCCCTCTGACTTTTTCCTTGACTGGGAGCCCCTCTGCTTTTCCCTTCTAGCAGGAAATCTTGTAGGGGAACAGCTCACACACTTGGCCTTCCTTGATTCCTCTTCTCCCTCTTACCCAGTTTCAGGGGTTGGAACCGCTGCTTTGGAGCCACTGCTACCGTAACTCTAACAGTAGGGTGCTGGGTTTCCCCTCAGTTCTCTCAGGCCACCCAGCTGACACAGGTGCTGCCATGGGTGAGTCCAGCTGCTCCCAAGAGTCACACTGCTGCCCTCCTCCGGAAGCCATTTCATATCCCCCAGTGCCCTGCACCAGGAGTTCACTTCTGAGGGACAGTGAATTGGCCCCCTGTTTAAAAAGTTTGAAGACCCCTGGCTTACCATTTATTAATATGCTGAGGCTAATAGGAACACAGTTGTCATTTTCTTTAACCTTCTCAAACTTTTCTTTTTTACCCTTTCTTATGAAAAATGTATTTCATTTCAAGTGAGTTTTAGTTACTACTTTGGGGGAAGAAAAGACCCGGTGAACTGAGTCATGACCTCACTGATGCCACCGGCATCCTCAGCAGGCCAGGCACAAGCCGTCCACAGGGCAGGCTGCCTCCTTCCCTCCTGGAAGCAGGGCTTGAGAAGAGAGAACTGCTGGGGCCCACAGACCACTGTGTCACTGTCACACCCTCAACAGAAAGCACAATCCTTTACTTCCCTGGGCTGCATTCACTTTAAAAAAAAAAAAACAAAACTCTCAAATTACACAGTAACATTTCACCCTCCAAAATCTAGGAGGGATTTTTCTTCTCCTTTTGCCTCCTGATTGATGCAAGAGAAGGTCAAGAACCCGACTCCTGACACACACTCACTAACCCAGTCCACCAAGAAGAGACCTTTCCACGTCCCACAGTCACAGGTAGTGGAATTTGAACTGCAGCAGTGCAGTCTACTGGCAAAAGACTTTACCACCAATGTTCCGTCTCCACCTCTCTGCTTCACGGTGACACGCGGCAGGACAGGACAGGACAGCCCTAACTGGCAGAAGTCATTAACCCCAGGCTAGACCAGCATTCACAGGAGCCAGCGTTGCCACACTTCTTGCCAAAGCGACCAAATTTAAGATCTCAAAGGCTTTTGTGACACAGATTCTTTAAGAGTGCAGTTAGCAACAGTGATGGAAATGGGTAAAAAAATAAGGGAAGAGCGGCCCAGAGCCTGCCTAATGGGGTGGGGCAGGGCCCCGGGAATCCAAGGGGTGCCCAGGGAAGCTAGAGCCGCAGGCAGAACCTGGTCCTCAGCCTGGGGGCCTCAAATAGGCTATTCTCTCGCCACAGCTAAAACTTATGAAGATCTAGTTACTTATTAAAATCAAGCATATTGAGATCAGGTTTTTAAGCCAGAAAGAGTGAATTCCTTTATTCCATCAGCTGAGTCCCTCCACACACCTGTGAGCCCCTCTGTACGAGCCGTACCGAGGCATGGGCAGATGTGTCCTCCCCTCAGCCCAGCAGGCTACTTCTGAGCACAGGGTCAGAGCAAGGGGAACCCGAAATCTTGAGCAATGTCAGAGTCTCGCTAAGGCAGTCTCATGCCGTGACCACTGTCCGCACTGGGAAAGCAGGCACTCGTTAAAATTGTATTTTGAGTGAGACCAATGATTCCAAGAGTTAGATAATGAATACGGAGGACAGACTGCCCGTACTCCCAGGCATCCCTGCCGCCAAGCTCCCTGTGTGAGAACCAACCAACAGAGGCGACGTGGTGCAGCTTATCACCCCCAGCTGTGACTCGCTTCATTGTAAAATGTATTTGCCTTCCACCATTTACACATAACAACCTGCTTTCTCATTCTCACCTTCCAGTCCAAATCTTGGGCCTAAGGGGTCTCCTCATTCAAATGGGGAGTGAGCATGGTGCCAAGTGGCTATTCTACGCCAGCCACAACACTGGGCATGTCTGCCCAGAGGTGTTCACGTGATCTTCCCACCACCTGGGCAGCAGGCGTTCACCTCCCCTCTTCAGTGAGAAGCCGTCAGAGAGGCAGGGCCAGGCCCAGCCTCCCGGCTGCTCATAAACTGCAGCTTCTACACAACTCCCACCAGGAAGTGAGCTGACAGCACCACCTTACCTGGTGGGCACAGCGCCTGGGAGGTGGGCTGGGGGTGTCAACTTTAGTCCAGCTGTCCTTCCTGATGTTGTAGATGTAAAGCTCATTATACAGAAAAGTCTGCAGGAGGAAGAAGAACTCAGTGTCACAGACAATGTGCTTCCAAGCAGGTGACAGTAAGTTTCAAGAATAGTCATAATCACTAGAATTCCCTGAGACACTTGAATCCTAACGCAACATAAATCATAACATTGCAGGAAGGCCATGGGGTCCCTCGGGGTCCTTTGAGAGGATGACACAATAAAAAATGCCCAGCGCACCCCGTGTTCAATAACCTGTACGTGGCACCTGTGCTGCTCAGTGAGCTCTGCCACTCCCCTAACTCAGCCCAGTTTTAAACGCATGCAAACCCAGAGGAGGATGACAGATGAGGCCATCCGATGGCCAGGGCCCCTCGCAAGCTGCAGGGAAGCTGAGCTTGCACTTCTGCAACTGTTTCACGTGCAGCTTTGAAACACAGGTCTTTCTGGTGTGCTCAAAAAGAAAATCGAGGGGTGGCGGGTTCAAACCCAGCCCTGGGCAAAAACTGCAAAAAAAAAAAAAAAAAAAAAAA